GCCCCTCCTTCGGCGTTCGTGGACTCCGCGGCGGCGCTCTCCCTAGCATCGCCGCGATCAGCGGCACCCTCCATGGTGCCAGCTGGCTCCTTCTTCTTGCTTGCCTTCATGGTATCTTCCACTAGCGACAATAGCTGGCTCATCTGATCCGTCAGCGAGCTAACTTGCGTCCTCAGGGCCACGAGCTCTTCTCTTGACCTCTTTCTGTCTTCCGCCGCAGAGTCGCTGGAGGAGTCACCCCCATCTTTGCGACCTGACATTCCTAATGGACTCTCCCTCGAGGGACTGACACTAGTGTGTTCGTATATGTCCTTTACTTGGAAGGGGAAGACGTTTTATCTCTTGTATTAGACACGCAAGGGGAGTAGGGAGAAGTGAAGCCCTCTTTGGAGTTCGAGGGGTCCCCGCACATGCAACAATTTCAAGGTGTACATATGCCCCATCTGCGTGCCCTCTGTTGTTGCCGGTAGATCTAACCAGTCCGTATCCAAACACACGAACAGGGCAGACGACAGAATCTGATGATGGGAGAAAATCTATATAGTCTATATATATCCCTGATTGATCAAATGCCGTGAACTATCGTTGCCAAAGAATGGATGTCGAGCCAACTTCTTGGATGTGCGAGAAGGCTTGGTTGGGCCGTGTCGTGGAACACACAAGTTGCGTGTGTGTTCGGCGGTTTGTTTCGTCATGATCAGCTCGAAGCTGTGCCCTGTTCTGTCCGACGTTCAATTCCTGTGCGGCGGTGTATGAAGCCCAACAGGGCATAGCATGCGTAGCCTTGTTGTAATGCACGTTTCCGGTGCGTCGGTGAGCTGTGTCGAGCAGCCTGGGCACCGAACCATGAAGTAGTCCTCAAACATGCTATTTGAAGCTTTTTTTTTTGTTTGTGTGTGTGCGTGTTTGTCGGCGGCGACCCTTTCTAACGGCCCTCCATGCCACTTGTAGGTACTGCGGTAGGCTCCCGCGTGAGGTAACGCTGTATGTGTGCCGGTAGCGGCAAGACACAAACCTCCGCGGGGAAAAAGAAAGCTGCTGTCAGATACGGCAAGGGTAGACTACGCGGTACCAGTTGAAGCGTTGTTGCAATCGTCCTTGCCTCTGCTAACTTGTCCCTTTTTCCCTCTCCGTTTGTATCCTCCCTCCCGCCCTCCCTTGTCGTAGGTTTATAAATCAGCGGGGTTTGGGTAAAATTCGTCGTATTCATATTTTCCCTCCCCCTACTACTCTCCCTTTCCCCGGTGTTTGCCATCGGGGTTGGGTTTTCGTCGCTTGGCAACGACGTTGTAAAACAAGCCCATTCACTTCATGAACTCGGCAATCAGGTTACCGTTTTTTTTTTTGCCTTTGGTGTTTTTTTGGCGGTAACCATAGTGGTGGCCGAGTAGATCATGTGCGGGGTGGAAAACCCTCACTTCGCGCAAGGGGGATGATCGCACCACGTTGTGTTAAAATGGTCAAGCACCCTCGAGGCAGTTACACAGTGCTTACAACTGTCTCTGGAAGTGAAAGCACCAGAAAATAAATTAATTCATACGCAGCTGTCATCCGTACGCAAGGAAGTAAGCACAAGATGCCGAACACCCTTAGCAGGATGCAGCGCACCCTTCATGCGACTCGCCGAATATCTCACGGCGCTTCGCGCTTGGTGATGTGAGAGCCTGGTCCGGTGAGAACCCGGCGTGCTCCGTCCCGGCTTTGTAGGGATGCGAGGTCAATGGTCTAACGACTACGGCATGCACGACTATGAGTACACCCCCCCCTACTACTCTCCATCAATCTATCTATCTGCCTGCGGACGTCCCTCTCTCCTCACATGTCCCTCTCTGTCCTCCTCTCCACCACCTGTGTCTTTGTGCTTGCCCGCTGTTTTCTACGCTGAGAATCATTGCCTCTTTGATCCGAAATCGGACAAATGCTGGAAGCGGGGTCAGGACATGCGGCGCGAGTTAAGGAACTACACAGCAGTGCATTATTACAAGTCAAGTACGTTTGACATCCCTGGGTTCTGTCTTCTGCGGTCATTTTTGAACCGGGTACATACAGTCGATACACGTCCTGCTGTGGTGAATATTACACGTGCACGTCCTGCTGTGGTGAATGTTACACGTGTGTGAATGGGGGATGTCCTGCATTACCGATTGCTGGTTGCTTTGCCTATCTATGGAACCTTGCTTTTGCTTTGGCGGTGAAGTTGACACTCCTGGGGTTCGGCTCGTATTGGTCAGGAGCGACAGTAAGCGCTGTTGCGTTTTTGTCAATTTTTTTCCCTACACTCTGGGAGGCATGAGGTTTGTGTAATCCACAATAACACCGCGCTGTCATTAAAGATTACTCCTTGAAGATTTCTTTCTTACAGTTGCTTTGAAAATTGAACACACTTCCTGCTCAAACTTTGTGGGGGTTCTCGGCTGCATCTGTGGTTGTTCGTTGGGCAAGTGTTGGTGGCACCGTTGACTTAACTACCCCCCCCTCATTTTATGCTTCTTCGGCTGTTTCATCCTCCACGGTGGCACATAGACTATATATGAAGCGCGATAAACGAGCAGGGGCAGCCGAAATCTGGACAAGAGAACGGCAACGTCATGCCGGAGGTAATCGAGAAGGTGTGGAACGACCAGGTAGAAAAGGCTGCCACCAAGAAGATGAAGGAAATTCCGAAAAAAACAGAGGGAGGCGCTGGAGAGGATGGCGAAGACAAAAAAATCGATATTAGCGGAAAGGGTCATGATACCGGCTATCCCCAAACGTGAGGACCTCGTTAACAAGGAGCTTCCCGAGAATTTCCTCCCTGCCCATTGGCTTACGTGGTTGTCTTACGGACCTCTGGGCACCCACGCGGACGAGGACATATCTTTTTTGTCCTCCAACGGCCCTGATCTTGAAGGATTAAGTGACGGAGGCATCAGCGAAGACGATAACGACGGCGGCGGCGGCGAATTTGAAGTCGAGGATGCGAGTGGATACGCATCTCCCTCGAGCTCCTTAGAGGGAAACTCCAGCGGCGACACCGGCGAGGGCACTCTAAGAATGGTTCCAGCATCTAACGCAGGAAAATCGAATGGGAATTAAAGGGCCAAGAGCAGTGATGGGCCGTCTGAGGGAGGGAGATCGGTCGTCTAGAGTAAGAGGGCAATGAAGTGCCTTCCTAATGCCAACGAGGTCCTCGGTAGGAGGGCCACGAAGGAAAGGAATCGGGAAGAGATAAAGAGAACGCGGGGCAACCAAGAGGGTTGCAGGAACAGCTCAGGCTTGCCCAAGACAGCTCCGCCGTTCTGCTGCAGGTGACACAGCAGGTAGTAGGAGTTGTCCGTACCATGGAGGAAGGGTCGGAAGCAGATCGGAGAAAGAAAAATCTTGCCAACCTGGAAACGTTGGAGAAGCTGTATCGCGATATGGGCAACGAGGCCAAGGCAAAAGAGTATCTTATGCAAAGGGTCGCTATACTCGAGTCGTCGATGGCGCCGGTTGGTGGTAGCGGTGCCGGTGCCGCTGGAGTCCCCACCTCTAGGGGCGTGGACGTCACGGAAGGCGTTCATGGTGGCAGCGCCGGTGAGGGGGGCGACGTCATTGACGTGGATCTCAGCGGAGGCACGAACGGAAACCGGAGCGACAACGAAGCCTCCCAGGAGACTGCCTCTGTATGGGCGGGCGCAGTTCAAGCCGCGCGCAACCATACCAGGGTTAGAGGAGGTCCACGATCGGCAGCTACGACGGGTGCAGCTGCAAAGTATTTTGCCTCACGCAGGGCTACGTTCAGCGGACCCGCCGCTGCCGCTGCCGCTGCCGCCAACAATGCCGCCAACGTTTTGGCGGTGGACAGTTCGGATAGTGACGCGGATGGTGGAGGTAATGACGATTTTGTAATGCACATCGACGGTGAATGATGTCGCAAGGAAGCTTCCGTGGGCAGTTTCGGCAGGGGCTGTAGGGGTGGCGGCGAGGGAGTGGGCGCTGCAGGCGGGCCGAAAAGGCCGCGGTGCAATAAACACCGCGTTCCGTGCAAAATTATGGTTCTTCAAGTGAGTACAATCGTGGCGTTGTTGTGTGGCGATAATGGGGTACCTGCGTGGAGGTTTGTGGCGCTCATCGGGCGATGTGTTGGTCGTTCGTCTCAGACTCCGGCCTGATCAGTTTGGTAAATTCGTTTTGGGCATCTGGGTGTATCGCAAACGCAAGAGCTCAACTGACCTCACCACGTGTTCCTCCCCCCCGCCCTCCCGAAATACCGCCACCCCAGGGCAAGAGATATTGGGAGTGCGGTGAGAACCTCGACAATATGTGCGACCACTTCGAGTCTGCGGGCGGCGTGACGGAGGAGGACGATTCCGGTGAGGCTTTGGATGCTTCAGCGGGTACCGCTGGTGCCGCCGCGAACGGTGTTGGCGTTGTTTCCGTGAGCGCTGCAGGCGGCGGCATGGGGATGGGAGACGGAACCGCCACAGGGGGTGCTTCTGCTGCCTCGGGTGCTCCTCGTGCCGTCACGAACGGTGCTGGCGGAGTTGCTTCCGTGGGCGCTGCAGGCGGCGGCATGGGGATGGGAGACGGAACCGCCACAGGGGGTGCTTCTGCTGCCTCGGGTGCTCCTCGTGCCGTCACGAACGGTGCTGGCGGAGTTGCTTCCGTGGGCGCTGCAGGCGGCGGCATGGGGATGGGAGACGGAACCGCCACAGGGGGTGCTTCTGCTGCCTCGGGTGCTCCTCGTGCCGTCACGAACGGTGCTGGCGGAGTTGCTCCGTGGGCGCTACAGGCGGCGGCACGGGGATGGGGANTTCCGTGGGCGCTGCAGGCGGTGGCATGGGGATGGGGGACGGAACCATGGTCATTGGGGGTGTTGCTGCCGGCGGCGACATGGGGGGGGCTCACGGAGCCTCCGCCGCAGGAGTGCGTCTGCTGCCGCGGGTGCTTCTCGTGCCGTCACGAACGGTGCTGGCGGAGTTGCTCCGTGGGCGCTACAGGCGGCGGCACGGGGATGGGGAACGGAACCATGGCCGTTGGGGGTGTTGCTGCCGCCGCGGGTGCCCATCGAGCAAACACAAGAGCTCTTGCTTGGGAAGCCATCACGAACCAATTCCCCAACGGTGGCTAGGTGGCGGGTGCAGCTGCAGCATACATGGCCGCTTTCGCAGCCCAAAAACCAGCCGACTCTAGGTTGACGGCAACACGTACGCCGAGCACGTTTGTGCGAGTTTTGCGCGACGTGTTTCCTCGGGCGGTGGTTTTGTTTAAGGAAAAAGGAATGTTGCCGCGGTATTTGTGTACTTATGTTGAGCCGCGGTGATCGTCAGTGGCTTCGCTTGAAACGCCTGCTGTGAGAAGTGTTCAAGTATGAGTTAGAAGGTCGAGCGAGAAGGAGAACACATTGTCTCTCTCTCTTTTTCTTACTTTGTTTGGCAATGGCAAGGGGATGACTTCCACTGCACAGATTTACTGGTGGTTCAATTTTCCTGAATACGCCTTCCTCTCTGCACGGAGTACTATTCAACGGTAACGTTTTCTCCAACGTTGGACACTTTTGTTTTCGACCGAAATGTCGCGCAAGGCTGTTAGGATTTTCAGAGATGGGTAACCACCTCCTGCCTATGTAGTCTCTGCGGGAGAAGGTTCCCCCTATTTTCTGGTTAGGAATGTCGAGGATTCAGTGCTTCCGACTCGTGTCGGTACATTGCTTGCCAGTGGGTTAATGGTTTGTTGTGGGGAGCTTGTTGGTGATTGATGCACTTGTTATTGTGAACAGTATTGTAAATGAACCGGCGTTTACCGGCTGGAAGGTAACGTCAACATTTACGCAGTTGGGTACTTCTGCCGTATTCCAAAGGAAGGTTGATCCCATGTCGATGTTTCCTGACATAATTCTTGGGGTTTACCGGCTGGAGATGCATTGTGCAGCGGAATTAATGTAACCGAAGAACACCGTGAAATATATATAAAATTCTAATTCGATCAGTGATGATATCGGCGTCGTGTTTTTCGTTTCGGTGTCGTCTTGCGTGATGAGACGCTGTTGAGTCATGGCATCAGGAGCTTGGCCTGGCCGCATTTGTTCGGAGGCTTTTCGTCAGAATCAGTCCGATTCCGAATGGCATGGGTGTCTTGGGGAACTAACAAGCAATACTATGAGGAGGAGGCGTTTGGAAGATGTGTTTTTGATAGTGTGGAAGGTTCGCGGTTTAGGTTAGGGATAGTTAGGGATTTGATGCGAGTAAAATCTTGACGTAGTTCCGTGTGGAACGACCGAGAATTTCCGGGAACGTGTCTTAACTTGGGGGGGGGGGCAGTTTGCCAAGTGTGGTACTGGGCACAACGAACAATTGGTGGGTCCTTGGCGGCCAAGTGAGTGCATTGGAGGTACCGTGTGCCATGATGCAGTTCCTCTCGCGAGAATGCCGGGTCTTCAAACTTTTAATATTCAAGCTGTAGCGCCTGACTTATGCAACGGCCCTTGTTTTAGGGGCGACCTCCATTAGAAGCAAAAGACAAACAAACGAGAGATCGCACCGACCGCTGCGATACGCATGTCACTTCTGAAGGCACCCTCGTCGCGGTGACACCGTCCCTGGGGTTTCCACCTACGCTGCGTTGCTTCGATACGATGTGCATCGTGATTGATCACCGTTGGTTCCCCTAAAACTCGAATGATGTTCTTCACAGCGGTGACCTCACGCCCCAACGCCCCCCATCTCCCCCTCCCCCACTAAATCGTCGCACCACAAACCTGGTCGGAAAGGTGTTGCGCCAAGAGCGGCGATTACTCCGGCACAAACATGAGTCAGAACCACGACCACATTTAATTGCTACTCTCAGGGCAAGATTCCAAGATACTGCCAGTAGACTGGGATTCCACATACCAGAGACCTTCTGGGGACAAAACACGCTTTCGAAAGACGACGTACAGAAAAGACTACATCCAGTGGCGAAGTGATTTGCCGCCATCGTACCCAATTCATAGCTCAGCGGAGAAACTAACGACCACACGAGACCGCCCACCCTCCAGCGAAACTAAACTCAAATCATAGAGGACCCAGAAGTTAACGTACAGTCGGAGGGACGGACAACGCCGACAACACGCCCCCACCCCCAGCTCCCCGCCAAAGGACACCTACGTAGCAATATGTGACTTGCCAAGAGTCCGTCACGACCTTTATTCACCCAACGGTCCTCTACACCCATCGGTAAGCGAAGTTGGTCACCAACTTCTGCCTCAGTTCGAGGAAGTCGTCGTCCCACTCCACAACCTCAGCCTCGTGCGTGATCGCCATCCGCCGCGCGTCAGGGTGCACGATGTGGTCGTCGAGGTTGCCGTCCGCTCCGGCCCAGTCGCAGTCGGCCTCCAGCAGCTCGATCCCGTCGTAGGCGAGAAGCATGTTGTGCAGTATGACGCACCTGAAGAAGCTTTTGTCTATTCTCTCTCTCTTCCTGTAGAGGAAACCCATCTTCAAAATTCTGAACTGGCCCTTGAAGACGCCGAACCAGCACTCGAGTTGCCTCTTGAGNGCAGCTCGATCCCGTCGTAGGCGAGAAGCATGTTGTGCAGTATGACGCACCTGAAGAAGCTTTTGTCTATTCTCTCTCTCTTCCTGTAGAGGAAACCCATCTTCAAAATTCTGAACTGGCCCTTGAAGACGCCGAACCAGCACTCGAGTTGCCTCTTGAGTCCTGCCTCGGCCTTGTTTGATGGCGCCCTGATCGGACTCTGGAGCTGCCTCCACTAAGCAAAGAGGGATTGATGGCGGGTTAGCGGGCGGTAGGGATTAACGTTAGGGATGCCAGGGCGGATGTACCACACATGACTTGAAGACGCACATCGGAACCTCAGAGGAATACGGCGGAACAGCATACCATACGTTCAACGTCAAATATGGCATAGTGCACATCAACTACCATCGCCTTTCGCGGAGACGAAGACCGTGAGATACCGAAATGTACAGAGAGGTTGGAGCGGGGACCTGGTTCAGTCTCCCCCACCACCTACCTACGCCTTCTGGCGGGGTAAGAGCCAACAGCTTGTGGAACTGGCGTACAGACAGGCAGACAAGCACGTTTACACATACATACAAGGTGTTCGGGAAAAATTAATTGTGGGTACCCAAACACAACCAGGGTGTTCGGTCATCAAATTTCCGCGCCTGACCAGACGGTGCCACAAAGCCGTCTACAGTACTACGCATTTATTTTCCGAAGAGAAAATTCCTCTCTCACGGAGCCTGTCGTAGTAAGTTGACCGAACACCCATGACAGAGGACAGAGGACCACACAAACATACAGACCTAGAGAGCCGCCCGAACTCCTGAGTTACTAGCCGCAAGATTCGACAAAGGCTTCACGCATCAGCAAAGACTCTCTCGTCCCCTACAAAAAAGATTAAGCCCCGGGGTCTCGGCATTTTCCCCCCGCTGGGCGTCACGGTTTCTGTTTATGCTGGTGCGTACCGTAGTTTTGCTCATCATCCACAGAAAAAAAAACACCTTCCCGAACCAGCGAACAAGAGAAACTACAGACGCGAACGCNCCTGAGTTACTAGCCGCAAGATTCGACAAAGGCTTCACGCATCAGCAAAGACTCTCTCGTCCCCTACAAAAAAGATTAAGCCCCGGGGTCTCGGCATTTTCCCCCCGCTGGGCGTCACGGTTTCTGTTTATGCTGGTGCGTACCGTAGTTTTGCTCATCATCCACAGAAAAAAAAACACCTTCCCGAACCAGCGAACAAGAGAAACTACAGACGCGAACGCGTGCAATTATACACGTGAAACGCACCCCCGAAATAAAACAACACGGGCCCGCTCACGTTGTGATATCCGCCGTCCACTATCAACCATAGCCCTTTCTCCTTGACATCCTCTCCGTCCATACCCTTCAGAGTGTACTCCACGTCCTTAAACCAGCCGTCTCGAACCGCCATCGCGAACTTATCGAACTTGATGATGGACTTGTCGTTCTAGGCCCCGGGGAAACCCTATTTGATATATTGGGGGTACTCGTAGCATAGTATGACGGGTAAGATCTTCAGTACGTACGGACGGAAATTGCAGTGATGTGACACGTCGTCAACGATATTCGCGTCGAGCTTAGTTTGGAGTTACATCGCTTTGCGGCGATCAGCAGCAGTCACCGATGAGCACCCCCGACCGAAACCGAGACCGAGAGAGCGACCGTCAAGCAGTGGACGACGTCGCCCGGATCAACGAGTTGGTGAACGAAAGAATAGCAGCGAGACTGGTCGAGATTACAAGGCAACAAGACGAGCAAAAAGCAGAGGAAAGATCACGCCCGGAGCGGGAACGACCACGAGACACGCCACCAGCAACATGCGGGGCGACCATCGGCCGGCCCGTCCGCAGACGACATCGCCCGCACTCTCGCCGATGCCCTGACCAGCCGTCTTCAGATTTCACCCGCAGACACGGGTAGAGTACCAAGTAGCGCAGCGACTCTTAGGATAACTGAGGTTAAGCGCCTAGCGCCGTGGGATGGTATGTATAGGCACGGGGAGGATGAACAGGCAAGGTTNACCACGAGACACGCCACCAGCAACATGCGGGGCGACCATCGGCCGGCCCGTCCGCCGACGACATCGCCCGCACTCTCGCCGACGCCCTGACCACCCGTCTTCACATATCACCCGCAGACACGGGTAGAGTACCAAGTAGCGCAGCGACTCTTAGGATGACTGACGTTAAGCGCCTAGCGCCGTGGGATGGTATGTATAGGCAAACAGGCAAGGTTTTTGATTTTTCGATCGAACATGATTGCTATGTTTGCGCAAGAAGGAGTCAGGGAAGTGGTATTGAGTGACCACAGAATTCCAGTCAGGCTAGAACGGGTAGACATGGAGGACTTAAGTAGGATGCACTCACCTGAAACGGTAGAAAAGGCGATCACGGCGTGGAATTTGATCATCACGACAATCACCTACATGCCTGTCTTGACCCAGATTATCGCTGATGGTAGTCCCAGTGGGGGTTGGAAACGATTTCTAGCATATTACGAACCCCAGGCGAGCGCAGAAAAAACACGGTTGACTTCGGAATACCATGCCATAAAAATGCGAGTGGGTGAAAGTCCGCAGGAATACTTCGGCAGATTTGCTGTTTTCCGCAGTAGGTTAGCCTCACACGGCGTCACATACCCCGACGATGATGCCAATTTGCACGTTGTGTACAACTTGTCTTCCGAGTACAAGATGGAGAAAGCTATGCTGTGTGCCCTTCCGACCCCCAATTTGACCC